GCTGTTGTTCATTAAAGGTCTCGGCCACTTCAGAAAACCTCTGGTCCAACTCTGCAACACCCACTCGCCTCATCAGCAGCCTGCCAGTTCGCTGGGCTGTGTTTGCTTTAGGACAGAGGAGTGAGATACATAATACAAAGACACTTGTCCAGGAAATTAAGAAAAGTTTGAACATTTGTATGTGGACCCAAGTGCAAGAAGGTCTGGACCAAATATTGCTTAAATCAATTCTACACCAATTAACAGAGAGAGGACATACCACTGTGTGCTGGTGGTTTCTGCCTGGCTGATCCAGGCTCGTTTGGGTCTGATGTTGTGGATTGCAGGAGGGGCTGTCTCTGAAATACAACAAGAAGTCAACACCTGCTGATTTTGCTTAAAATCTTTATTTCTCTTCTCTATCATGCAATAGTTTAGTGCACTGCCTAACTGCCCTATGTGGTAAATGTATAACTCTGGTCGTAAAAATAAAAACAGAAATCTGTATCCTACGATCTAAACGCATTAGAGTTACATAACTCACACAATACACTTTGTGGATTTTATCCACTTACCTCATTTAAAGAGTTCTCATCAGAAAAACAACAACAGCAGATAAGCCGCAGCATTCTGTCGAGCTCCAAATGTCTATTTATTTTCGGGTCAGTTATTTCTAACAGTACGCACTTGTCATTCTCATTCGGAGTGACGTAAGCTTCATGTGATTGGAGAGAAAACTTCCTGGTTGTGATGTTCAGGTAAAAACGAACAGGTAGGAATACTGACTGCCGAGTTTGACACACTTTTTAAAAAATGCTTTCACCTGTGGACTGTCAAAATGTTGAACGTTTTTCGAAACACATACCAATATTATTTTATTTACATTTACCAGCAAAATTGTGCGCCTTTTCATTACAAAATACTATTATTTACATTTTATTTTCTTGAACTCGAACAAATTTTAGAGACCATTTGTCAGAAAAGCAACATAGAGTATTTTAATCAAACTTTGTCAGCAGTGAATGAATAAATCACTCCAAGTCTAATTAGATTGCCCAGATAATAAATTTCACCTCGAAGATCTTATTAAAATGTGAATATAAACAGATATAGCGGCCCGTTCATTATATATTTTTATTAATGTGCAAGTCGTCATGTCTGCCACTGGGGGCGAACACGCGCTCGTTAAACCATGATAATACCGTAGAAAAAGTCAGAGCTGTGATGGTAGAGATGCTGCTTGAAAGTACGTAAACTGTCACGTTAAATTAATATTTTATAACTCAACAACAAGTGCATATTTATGTTTTGTGCGCACGTCTTTGTCGTCAGGTTTCTGTTTTAATGCCGCGTTTTTGCATTAAAGCCAAAGGGCACAAATTTGTAAACAAAGAGTGTACAATTGCTCATTACTGGCCGATTCCATCGGTGTTTCCTCGTTTTCATTTCCTTTAATGTAACTGAGCTATCAAGGATTTTACGGTGCAACCATGACAGGAATTGCTTCTCCAGAGACAGCTACAAGCTCCAAGAAGAAGAGCGAGAGGAAATGTGCCAGCAAAGAGTACAGACAGTTGTCCAGCATCATGGGAAGCATGAACAACCTAAGGAAGCAGGTGTGTGAGCTGGTTACAAAGATGAACTAATTGTCCAGTTGTCCATCTACCATAGCAGGGCTTTAGTTATTAGTAGAATGATCAGTTAATCACATACTAAAATAGTTTAATGTCTGTTTAAACTTCAACCAATCTCCACCTTGGAAGCTTGCTTAAATAAGGTGAAAATATGTTGCCGTGTACATTTCTTCAGGGTATCCTCTGTGATGTGACCCTGGTGGTTCAGGGAAAATACTTTCCTGCCCACAGAGTAGTGCTGGCTGCTGCAAGTCACTTCTTCAACCTCATGTTTACCAGTAAGTAAGCGTGAGATAGCATTCGTTATTTTGATCTACTGCATGTTTTTTTCTTTACCATGACGAGCAAAAGTCTATGTCTGTCCTATTCTAAAATGATTATATATTGTATGTATTTATTGATTTGTTGTACAGTATTTGCATCATAACTTACAAAATATCTGTATTATTGGTTGAGCAAATCTGATTTTGTGGTTAATTCTAAACAGTTTTATTAAAGAAATGGTATCTAATTCAAAGTGTCACTACGCATGGAAGGGGTGCTGTATACCACCAATCTTTGTATTTCATTTAATTCTTTGTTTATTTAACAGCTAGAATGATGGAGTCCATGTCCCATGAGGTGGAGCTTCGAAGTGCAGAGCCTGAGATTATTGAGATCTTAATTGAGTTTATCTACACGGCTCAGTAAGACTGTGTTGGCGGATGGTTTTAGATGCTGCTACGATTATTTTCTTTCTACAAGTCTCTTTGTTTCTTTGTATATTAATTCACTCTTTATTGCCAGAATATCAGTGAATGGCAGCAATGTCCAGTCTTTGCTGGATGCAGCTAACCAGTACCAGATTGAACCTGTGAAGAAGATGTGTGTTGAATTCCTCAAAGGACAGATTGATGCAACTAACTGCCTGGGTGAGAACATCCAAGATGAAATCAAACCGATACATTTGGCTAAAGGCTAAACACTAAACATGTTTTTCCCAATGTGCTGTTCAGAACAAAACAATTTGTCCTTTACTCTACAGGTATTTCAGCCCTTGCTGACTGCATGGACTGCCCTGAGCTGAAAGCTGCAGCAGAGGACTTCTTTCAGCTCCATTTCACTGAAGTCTACAAACTAGATGAGTTCCTGCTACTAGATGTTGAGCAACTCACCCGTCTGTTGCACCAGGACAAACTCACTGTCCGTGCTGAGGCCCAGGTATAAATGCTTTACTAAACGCTAATGCTAATGTATAACAATCTATATATTTTTAATGTTAATTTATGTTGTCTTACTTGTCTTAAGATATATGACGCAGCAGTACGTTGGCTGAAGTATGATGTCTGCAACAGACAGCAGTACATGGTGGAGGTGCTAGGGTGCGTTCGCTTCCCGTTGGTCTCTAAAACCTTCTTATCCAAAACGGTGCAGGCTGAGCCGCTCATTCAGGACAATCCCCAATGCCTCAAGATGGTCATCAGTGAGTTACACCATGCAGTCACTAGAGCACAGGGATGATGCTCAGCTGCTTGTCAGTTATTTTTACATGCATATGCATAATTTAATACACCACATTAACACAGATACAAAAACACCACAGAACTTTGAGTTTGACACAGATCACTGCGTACACACACAACTTGTGTTTCGTGCTTAAGGTGGGATGCGATACCATTTGCTGTCCCTGGAGGATCGGGAGGACCTGGGAGAAAGCAGCCGACCGAGACGAAAGAAGCACGACTACCGCATTGCTTTGTTTGGAGGATCTCAGCCACAGTCCTGCCGCTATTTTAACCCCAAGGTACCAGAACAAGTCCCTGAAGCTGAGCACATGTGAACTGTATTTACTGATGTGAAATAAAACAAAAAGAGTCTTATGGGCAACACGCAGCCAGCCAATACATTTTATACAGCCCCAAATGTGATATTAAAAAAAGAGAAACTGGACCTTAAAGTGTTTTAATACGAGCAAGCATTACTGCTTGGTAAACCAAACCTACCAAGTAACCAAGGGCAAATGAGATTCCACTACACATACCGAAGCAACTAGATTATATGTACTTCACACTTTTAGCCACTAGGATGTGGTGTTGCCATTTATTTGAAGCAAAGTGTCTACAGACTGAAGCCCAACTTTTTCAAAAATATTGCCAGAAAAATACTATAATATCCAATTACCTTTTTGTTTTACAGTTTCTTAAAGATTCATTATGATTTCTTAAATATAAGACGGCAGTGAAGTGACATTTTGGCTCTTCACACAGGAGTCCACCTGGACAGATATCCGCTGTCCCTTTGAGAAACGTCGCGATGCCACCGCTGTGTTCTGGGACAACGTGGTCTACATCTTGGGCGGCTCGCAGCTCTTCCCGATCAAGCGCATGGATTGCTACAATGTTTTGAAAGACAGCTGGTATTCCAAGCTGGGTCCACCCACTCCACGAGACAGTCTGGCTGCCTGCGCCGCCCAGGGAAAGATCTACACATCTGGGGGATCTGAAGTTGGTGAGCAAAACCACAGGATTGGTAGATCAGTTGCAAATGATAAAAAAAAAACAAGTGTTTTTTTCATCATATGTAACCCATCAACCAGTTTAACAGATTTTACTGAGTGTTTGTTTCTAAAGGAGGTGTAATGGAGTTCAAAAATATTCATCTCTCTTATTGGAAAAAAAATTACCCATTACCTGCATGTGTGTGATGACAGGAAGCTCGGCCTTGGACCTTTTTGAATGCTACGACACCAGGACGGAGTCGTGGCAGGTGAAAACCAGCATGCTGTTGGCCCGCTGCAGCCACGGCTCAGTGGAGGCCAATGGGCTCATCTATGTATGTGGAGGAACAGTTGGCAACAATGTAACGGGCAGGATCCTTGCCAACTGTGAGGTCTATGATCCAAGCACACAGAAGTGAGTGAATGACTTTTCTATGAAGGGTTTCAGCAGAGCTGTCAATACACACAGGAAACAGTAACATGCCGCTAAGACGTTGGGTGTCTCCAGCCTATGAAGTCAGAAGAATCCTGTTTGAGTCCTCTCTGTGTCCTTCCTCTTGTCCTCAGGTGGAGGGAGCTGAGTGGTATGAGAGAAGCCAGGAAGAACCACGGTCTGGTTGTGGTCAATAACAGGATCTACGCTATTGGGGGGCAAGGCACATTTGGTAATGATTTGAAAAGTAACATCTCCAGTGATTCAGTGACGTGTCAGTGCTGTAATAGTTCTTTCACCGTATTGAGACTTCATGTTGTTTTGTTTGTAGGTGGACTGGAATCAGTGGAGTACTACGATATTGCCAGTAACGAATGGCAAACCGCTGCTCCGATGCCGTGGCGAGGTGTAACGGTAAAGTGCGCCGCAGTTGGTGACATCATTTACGTGCTGGCAGGGTTCCAGGGCGTGGGGCGGCTTGGACACGTCCTAGAATATCACACTGACACTGACAGGTTAGTATACGTCTTAGGTCAGCTGTCTGTGTGACTTCAGACATTGTCAATGGTAAACGGATAAATTCCATTTTGATGCTGGACTCCGATTGGACAACATGACTGAGAGTAATTTAAAAGACATCAATTCAAACAAAAATAAGGAAGAATAAAAAGCTGGATTACTAAAGTTGGTAGAAAATAAAAAAGATAGTTAGGCAAAAGTGGCAACATTTTAGCTTTATCTAAAACTAAATAAAAATACTGAAAAAAGACTTAACTATACTAAAAAAGCTAATCAAAGGTGAACATAAGACAAAATGCTATTGAAAAAAATAATCTAAAATCCACACAAAAACTTGGAAATGGGTATTTTTGTTTATTTACTTTTCTGTATGCCTGCTTTTACCCATGTGCAGGTGGGTGACTTGCAGCAAGGTGCGAGCGTTTCCCGTCACCAGCTGCCTGATCTGCGTAGTGGACACATGTGGCGTCAACGAAGACGAAGACATGGACCTGATAGACTCTCAGTCTCACGCCCCGCCCGCTGCTCCTTCGTCCGACTCTGCATCTTCGTCCTCGTAGGATTGCATTAGGCCTTGAAAATTGAAACAGGAGCAGATCAGCTTGAAGCAGCAGTGGTTTTTGGGAAGACACTTTACACCTGTAGTTTCTAGTGTGTTTAATGATTATTAAATAGTGGAATTTTGCAGCAAATGTTTAAGTGGGGGGTGGAAGGGGCTCGACAATCTTGTTGATATGTTAATATTATTCACTTCTAGCCATTTTCAGTTGCCAAACATTGATTTTAGCTTGCAGTTTAAGTTTAATTTGGACTTTTCTGTTGGAAGGAACAAAAAGGGTGTTAATGGTCTGGTTTGGTTGATCAAGACAAAAAAAGTTTGACAGACTCAGTCTGATGTCAGAATTTATTTTAAATGTTTTTATTATTATCGTTGTCTAAAATAATGCTGTTACAGAGTCTCAAGATACTGTATTTATTTGTAGTTGAATCTTAATGGAAGTGTGTAAATTGAGATGAAGAGTGCTTCTGTAATAATGCACTCTTACTTTAAACAGACTGTACCAAGTGATTACAATGACCAAACTCATTCCATTCTCAGCTGCATCTAAGTAAAAACAAAATAACATTTTTTTAATTGGTCTTAATTTGATTAACATTTTTTTTAACAATTACCAACTTGTGGTCAAGTTGATCAGTGATACGGCTTCTGCGATACATTAGTAAAAAAGAAATTCCTTCAAAAAATGCTTATTTACATGATATAACAAAATGTTTCTTCATTCACTGAATTGATATAAGCGAATAAAAACTGTTGGTTTGGAAAAAAGCTGCATTCATTTCATCACTTTGTATAAAAAGAAGTTGTTAAGATATGATACTGAAACTTTGGAAATATGTGGTATTAATACATGCTTAACAACAATTACAGATAGAGTATGCAGTTTTTGGAAGTAAAGCAATACAAAATAAAAACCCAATTCTAATAACCACCAAGTACAGCATGTAAAGACAAAGCTGTTTACTTGTATTTTTTCTTTATCAGCTGCCAAGGCAGGTCTCTAAAGGTTAACAAATTTCAATAAAAACGAGGATAAACTAATACCACCACCTGGGGGGAGGGGCTGGTTCAGTTCACAGAGTTGACGATGCAAGACATTCTAAACCCAATTTAAAGAACATTTCAAGCGTGATTTGAGTTAAGAAGTTCTTCAATTTGTGGCCTCTTATTGAGACATTTCAATTCTTATATCCAGTAGGCAGATGCCTGTCTGTTAAAGGGTGCCATTTGTCATGGTTAAAAGTTTGGTGTTTGTTCATTAACAGGTACTTGTTTTGTATTTAACTAAAATGAACATCAATTATCATTTAATGTTCTTTATTTTAGATGGTTTTCTCTATATATCCTTTGGTACTTCGTATAATATACCTACATTATTAGTAATAGTAGTATCAGTAGCAGTAATGCTATTGAACTTCAGACTACTCTGGCATATTTACTGCAGTCTATTGTTTTAGGTGACGCGTTCCAAATCTCTTCCGTGCTCCATGTTTACCACAACCAGATGTCTTACTTACACTCTAAAGAAACGCAAATCAGTTTTAAAGACTGTGGTAAAAACATTAAAAGGTGGTAATGTAAAAAAAACTGACTATCATTCCCTGAGCTTGTTTCATAAATCACTGGAATGTAGTGTATCATAGTGTCTGGACCTCCAAAAGCGTGTTATAATGACAAGTTTTAGTTCCATTTTATATTATTCCTTCATAAGTGATCTCCAGACTCATCCACCTCTCTCATCAAGAGTGAAAACCGATTGCTCATCTCTTCTGCCCCAGCACCACCTCCCCGAGTTCCTCTTCCTCCAGCACGTCTCCCTCTCCTTCCCCTGCCTCCTGCTCCCACTCCTCCTCCTCTCTTCCCTCTCCCTGCAGCCACTGGGTTAGGACGGACCTTGGCACTGTTGTTCTTCACCGCGTCCATGACGGAGGAGTAGAGCTGTTCAGACAGGGAACCCCCAGCAAGTAGAGATTCAGCAGGTTGTCCACTTTTTAGATACCTGAGGAGGCCGTGCACCAGGGTACCACTGAACAACCTGAAGCACAAAACACAGTATGAGAAGGAGGGGCAACAGTTTAGGCCCCTAAACTGATTTAATGTGTGCTGTCTTACCATGACAGGTGGGGTTCAGGAAGTGGCAGCAGCAGCAGCTGATTGAGACTCAGTGCACTGAAGAGGCAGGCCTGCCATTGGCTGAAACTGTGAGCCGCTACAATATCCAAGCCCCGCCTATCTCCTGGCCTGACACGCTGCCTGTCGAGTAGCGACCACACACTGCACTCCGAAGCCCAGTTGATCTGAGACACTTGGAGATTACACAGTACCACAAGGAAGACAATAGAAAATAATTTACAATTTAGAGACAGATAAATGTCTGTGCTCGACTTTAATCAGACACAGGTAAAACAACATACCAGCATAATGGTAATGAGTAACACCAGGCTGGTTATTCCAAGTCACCTCTCCATAAACCATGCCCAGCACCAAAGCCTGGAGCTGCTGATGTGAAGGTGTTGGAACAGACTCTCGCATCCAGATGGTAGTCCCCGCCACTGCGAGTCTCAGGTGAAGAGGGACAGCAGTGAGGAAAGACTCCTTCACTTCTAAGGCTTCTAGTAAGATGTTCAGACGCTCTGGGGCAGAAACCTAAATTAAATCAGACAAAAGTTTTTTTTTGTAAGATGGCTGCAACAACAAAACTAACAAGTGAGAGAATTCCTTTGAACAAACCTTACCTGATCAAGTGTATCCAGATATACTGTGGCTCTGGGTGGACGTGCTTCCACTTGGTTCCTCTTTAAGGACAGGTCCACACGGTCAAATTCTTCAACACAAACCAACGGAGCAACGGACCCCTGATCGTGGGCTCGTGCTACACCCGCTGATCGTTCACTGCTAGACCCTGCAAAAGTGACCTCCTGCTCTGCAGGTAAGATCCCACCCTGACTTCTACCTCCAGTGCTGTGTCCACCTCCTCGACCTCTTCCGCCTTGCCTCCTGCCACCTCTCTTCCCCTGTCTTGTGTTTGCGTGTGGTCTCGTCTCCTGTCCCTGGACAGCACCTCCGGTTTCTTTCGATTGCGGCCCACTGTCACATCTGCTCACGTTCTCCTCTTTCCTTTTATGTAGTATCCCATAAATAGCCTGACGTATAGCTTTGGAACTACAATAGCTGCTGGGTAGTTTAGTGTTCTCCACTTGTGGGATCAGAAGGACTCTGCGCATCACCAGAGCGTCCACAACGAGGGGAGACAACAGCCCCTGGGCTGCAGCCTGTGAAATCCACTCAGGATAATCTGCAAGTCCAGAGGTCTCTCCTCCTGGAGCCATCCTTCTGCCAGAGAACCAGTGAGCCAGAGAGCTCTGAGGGCTGATGCAGTACTCCTGCATACATGTCCACAGCTGTGAACTGAGCCCACTCTTCTGTCCTCTTCTGCTCCGAGCCACTTCATCTCCCATGATTCTGTTGATCTCTTCCAGGGCTTCTGCTGGGCTAGAAAAAGATGATAGCCAGAAAAGAAGGGCCTCGATGCGAGAGGTGTAACCTTTTCCTTTGCCACCACTTCTGCCTAATGAATTTACATCCAACAGAGCAAGAAGTGTGTCAGTATCTTTAGGAGCACCGTAGTCATTACCATTGAGGACAGCACACAGGGGCAGCAGTTCCGGATTCATGCCACCAAACCAGTGACAAAGTGCGTTGGTGGTGTAGCGTCGAGCTGAAATGTAGCGATTAGAGACTTTGCCATTAAGATGGGTCCACTGGAAAAAACAGAGTGGCAAGTAGCCATCTACAGTAACAGAGGAAAGAAAAAAAATACATTACAAAGTTACAAATAGGAAATTCTAGAAAAGCTCTATGAAAGGTATACACTTGTTAATCTAGTCACACCTGGCAGGTCAAAGATATAAAAGTCACTGTCATTGGTGAGAACTGGACAGTTCCAATGATGAGCCAAACACGCAATCTCCAAGTCAGCCTCAGCTGGACACTGGACGAAAGGGATTCCCTTCTGCCTGAGGACCTGAATGAAGACATTCCTCGTAAGGACGGGAAGAACAGAGCCGCCACGACCATGAGCGATATTATCTGCATCCTTTATCTTGGACTGTAGACGCTGTCGTATAGTTGAAAACTTCTTGTCGCTTGGATCAATTCCTAAAAATGATAAATGTATTAGGAAATTGCATCCATGTTATATAGATGCAGATATTGTGTGTGAATGGGTTCATGCTTCCATAGGATCCTTACCTCCATCCAATACAACATAGGGTTGGATGTTGCAGGCTTCCAATGCTGACAGGAACTGGGTGAGCAGGCAGGTAAAAGCATCATAGTCGCCTCCATACTGCCGGTCCAAGCAGTGGTGAAAGTAGAGGTGGAAAAAGAGACTGCAGCCATCAATAACCAGACGGCTGTCCCTGAACTTGATATCTTTGAGGAAGCTTCTGTTCGCCTCCACGTAGGTGGTGAGACCCTGGACACCCATTGATTCTTAGGGCCTGGAAAATCATCCAAAGAAGTACTTTTGTTTTTAAGTGTTCTGTAAAAAAAAACCCTTAACAATAACAGCCCTGTGGAATATATTTTAAAAAATTCAGCTTTGTTTTGATTTGCCTTTATGGTGTACAACAACTCTTAATGAACAATTAAAATAGTGCTGTTCTGTTCATAGCTGTTCTTGTTGTTCCATGCAGCGGTACTAATCAATCCTCTATGATGTCATGCACCTTTTATCTCTTACCGCAGGTTTAGGTCAAATTCTTTGAAAGTGATGTCACTAATCAAAGATGAATTTTCTTCTTTGACAGTTGCCATCCTGTTGCATTTCTAACTTATCCGTCTCAATCAATCTGTTACTGACTCATTCTGCCCAATTCCCCACGAATGCTCTTCCTTTTTTGCTTTGAAAGTTTTTTTTAGAAAGATTAAACATTTATAATAATATATCATAATAACATGAACAAATTAACTTTTTCTTTTAACCACTCTCAAAACGACTGAAGGGCTGGTTTGTGCATGATTATTTTAATGCTAAAAATATATATTCAAACGAGAGACTTTATTAAGATTTTTCTTAATATGCCTAAGTGGCTTCACAAGGCTCCTCGCTTACTAACTTCCTTTGTCATTTGCCCTCTTCATGCAATTATTTCGAATGAATAGGTAGAGACATAAACATTTCTAATGTATGCAGACACAGCACAAGCAGCCGCAAGAAACGACGGTGTTTTTTCAGTCACTAGGAGGTAGCAATGTACAGATTGTGTGTCCAATCGATTGAGACCGTTATCAGCAACATAAATCATAACGTTAACTATATACACTTATCACATGTTTACACGTCATATACAGTTACTTCCTTATAATGTTAAGGGAGTAACAGTTTTGAAATAGCATGCACTCAGCTAAGCCAAAAAACGACAATCTTGCTTAAGCGACTAGTTTTAAATCTGAAGAAACCCAGCTGTTAAGTTTAAAAGGCTATACCTGTGATTTGGGGGGTAGGAATCCTTCACGGAAGAGCACCCCAAGTTGCGAACGCCTCGTCACATCTCGCGAGACCTAGCGAGAACACAAGAGCTAGCGAGCGGGCTAGCCAGTTTTGTTCTCCTATTTGAAAATATTCTGGTTTATTTTTGCT